CTTTATTCTTGTCATTGATAATACCACATTGTTCCTAACCCTTTTTGCATTCTTTGTGCGTTTACACTGTTAACCCTTCACGGCACTTGATTCACATCGATTTGGTCGCCTCCAACTTGGGGATGACTCATGTTGACCACTGCGTCACTAACGCACAATGATTTAATAGTTGAAACTGAACACCTATTTATCATTGGAACGGAAAGTTGCTTACTAAGTATTAGCCAAAACCCATTGATGAGATGGTAGTGCTGTGTAGAGAAACTATTTAGTGCAATTAATGTCAATTACTTAATAAATATTACGGCCATGGGGTTCACGCTTGCGCTTGGGGTGAATATCGATAATTTCCTTTAGGTCGCTTATACTTGGTCAACGAACCGAAGTGGTCTTGTTTTCATAGAGGGAAGAATTGAAGTTGACCATACTGTTAAATGAAATGGGTCTTGAATAGTGAATAGGGTCGTTGATATCGTCTTTATATGTTTGAATTTAACTTGAATGTGCTAACAGTTATAAGAACTTTGCCATTTATTCCTTCAGGTAACTACACGGGTAGCCCAGCTGTCAACGCAGCGTCATTTCATGGAGGTATGTTATTGTGTTCTTGATGCTATTTAATCGAATCTATATTCCTTAAATTAGAAGACTTAGAGGAAAAGAGAGTGTTTAAATTTTGACCTTGTAAATTAGCTGTTTATTTCGTCTTTTAAACATCCATTCGCTAGTGGAATAGGCACAGGTCTTCCAAGAAAGCAGATTACGCCTGTATTTATTGTTACAAAGTCTTAGTTAACAAACGGCTTATTACTCTTTCAATGGTAGGAGTAGGTAGATATCTCTAAATGACGACTTTTAGCGAAACAAATATTAGCTTTGTGTTACTGATATGTATGTGAGGAGGGGAAACGACTGTTAGTGGTTTGGTTGCAATCCTCTTTGTCGGTAAAGGCCATTTTGGTGAATATCTCTCTTGGTACAGCCGATAGCGTCGCTATTCAATACTTCATCACACTCCACACTAATGTTAGACTGCGTGTGAACAAGTGGATCTGTTAGTTTCACCTCGTTCACAAAGTGTTTGGTGACTTACTGTGGGCAATAATTGGAAAGTAGGTGTTTAGTGCCGGTGCGGAGCTCTGAAATACTTTAATTCATCAAAAAGATAAAACAATTTGGTATGTCATTATGAAGGGCCTGTTGCCTCATATTCATGCCGTAATCTTCGAAGTATGGCAGCGATTTTGGGCTCCACATATCTTTACCACTCATAACAAAAGTGTACGAAAATTATTATTCGTCTAAGAGATATTTATATCCAATAGATCAGGCTCGTGATGAAGCAATTACTGTTGAGGAAGGTAAGGATCATGGCTGCGGGCATAATTGAATTTCACCTTAACCTTGAATAAACTAAAAGCTTAAATGCAATAACATGCGTAAAGCGGTGATTGCAGAGTCTAGTAACTTGATGGATCATTTGAGTACTAAAATTGAAAATGTGAAGCTGTTGACCTAAACAAAAACTGTCTTGCTATCTTCTTGATGGCTAATAGACAATAAACAGTCCATTTGGTTTATTGTTGTCTATTTCGTTGACTTGTAATCTTTAACTGTTGAAAATATCTGAGTTGTCACTGTTCTGCATTACTTTAGACCAAAGAGGAATTAATGAAAATCGCATTATTCGTAAGTTCTACTTCCGTTTACGGTGGAATATATAGTTATCAATTTTCAACTTACCTGGGAGCAGTTAAATTGATGCTGAACATCATATCTAAAAGGCTAAATTATTATTTTGTTAAAATCTTGTGCTGCTAGATTGGCCATAAAATTTCAACTCAAATTGCAGCTATATTGATTTGACAAACTTAATGTAGTGCCTAAACCGGAACAACTTCCACTGGCTAAAATCTTTAAATGTAGAAAAAATGTTTGCTAATTTAGCTGAGTCAAACCAACGGTAACAAGGATAGAGCATACGGAGTGACCAGCGTTTGTTACCGTTTCTTTCGAGATGTCACAGAGTTTAATCATTAAATACAATGTGGCACACTACGCTACTCTTGCAGCAATTTGTGTACTCATGATTAGCAGTAGAGTGATCGCACCTTGCAGTCTACTCGAGCGTGCATGAGTTACCTTTGAGCACTCTTGGTACTGTTGTGCAATCAACCCCTCCCATTTCCTTGGATAATGGAGGACAGATAAGAAATCGGTATACACTTTGATGGATGCTATTGAATTAATGATATTAGAAATTTTTTATCTATCAATGATTGCTGAAATAGTGCCCAGTCTGTGGCAGTAGATAAGCCTCAAGTTTAAAATCAAGTTTTTGAAGCATCGAAATACCATTTTTAGCCATAAGCTCACAGCAACTGCCAAGTAGTAAGTTTGATTTTTGAAATTATGTGGATTTTAGTTGGAGCTTAAGTAACTTGAATGTCACTTGTTCTTTTTCAGATTTTGGAGCTCAATCTGGTTCGCATTTGCCAAGTAAGTTTAACTTTATTTTATTTGTTATTGCTTATTAAGGCATGGTTCATTTATTCAAATCCAGCGATTGAGATGGATGACTTAAATTTAAATTTATTTTAGACAACCCAGAATTTATCCACGGAAACCCCAGAATGAATAGTGATAGTAAGCTTGATAATTTTCATACTCATGTAACCTAGTTCGAAAAGGAACCAGATTTTTAAAGTGTGTTATTATTAGCCCTCTTGAATGAGAGTATTTGAGTATTATAATCACTTTTAGTCTAATCTTCTTTATGGATAAGATAATTTTAGCAATTTTTCTTTACCTTTTAGATGATCCAGTTCTGCACATCGGCCATAAATATGGTAAGTCGAAATGTTTACATATAGTGATGCAATGTGGAATATTAGCGTTTACGTACAAGTATTTTTTTGGCAAGTAGACGACATCACCTGGGCCCTAGTGATTGTAGAGTCTAGTAATGTGATGGGTCTTTTGAGTACTAATATTGAAAATGTGAAGCTGTTAATCTAAACAAAAACTGTCTTGTTATCTTCTCGATGGCTAATAGACAGTAAACAGTCCATTAGGTTCATTGTTGTCTATTTCGTTGACTTGCAATCATTAACTGCTGGATATATCTGAGGCATTGAATTATAAACGGACAATTTTTGTTGTAACAATCGCCAGTTAGAAGAATCTTATGATGGTTTTGTCTGTCCTGCAGGTCGTATATATATAAACTAAATATACGTTATCCGTCCATTTATTCCAAAAACCTTTTGAGATTTTAGTAACGAAATGGAACAAAGTAGCGATAGAAGGGTCTTTTGAACCTTCTTTGTTTCAGATATTTAAAGTCGTCAAGTTGGGCTAGAGTTTATCATTGAAGGACACTGAATAAGGGGTTATTAAATGAATTAAATAAAGAGCAGCATAATTTTTTAATGTTTTTCGCATTAGCTAAACCCCAATTCCACATCTCATAAATCATCAATCCTGTTGTATCAAAACTTAAGATTCGCCAGATTAACTGAATCCATTTACACTAGGAGATGCAGAGTAGGATTGAATTTGTTCTAATTATAACTAAAGGCGCATTTTCTAGGCCATGCACTCTGTATTTTGAACTTTGGTAATCATATAAAACGTTTTTTTAAGTCGAGAAATTTCCAGAAATGTAAATAATGACTGCCCACAACCGAGAATCTTCCTATTGACTTAATGAAAATTACCATCTTTTTCTAAATCTTGGCGCCATTTTGTTGCATATAAGCTAGTGGTTCTGTTAATAGAGAAGGGTATTCAAATGGAATGCTCAAAGTGATAGCGCACGCAGACACGCTAATTGATTCATTACAGGACCCAGGTGAGTGGAATTCAATAATCGATACGTCGCTGTGGTTTGGGAACAAGGGGAAAAGTGCTTTGATAACTATTAGATATAAAAGTTACTTCACCCAAACAAAAAACGAGTATGAGCAGGCTGTATAAAGCAAAGTTTTAATATTAAATACTAACGGGGAAATATCTTTCCGATCAAGCAATCTAGAGTGGAAGGTAGCGAGTCTGACCGACGAGAGTTGAAGTATACATGGATGTGAAGAGGCGACAATCATGTCATAGTTATTTCTACCTTTTCCGTTAGCCTAATAATATTATAACTTCGAGTGCTAGCTTCGCGTTACTCTGCGTCCTCTGCACATTTTATCTTGACTAGTCTCTCAGCTTCCCTACTGGATGGTGAGGTTGATATTTCAATTCCTTGGCATCAACGCGCTAGGTGGTTTGTAGAGAGTAGAAATAACGTAACAGGGTTTGAATTGAGGAAACTTCGAATAATTTCACTTTTTAATTGCGTTTTTACACTGCCGTTAGAGGTATTGCCATTAAAACTATATTTCCTTGCTTCTATTATCCAACACCGAAAAATGTTTCAAATTCTTTTTAAATAGATCGAAAACCAGAAGGAGGCATCGATGATGATATTGGTGAGTACCAATGGGTCAATTCTTAGCGATCGATTATCGCCATATTCTTGTTCCACTTTCACCTACTCGATTCTTACTTTTCTCACACTGATGTATTAAATGCGTATTAACTAAAATAGTTGGTCTGACAGATGGTCTGATTGGTCTGCCATATTTGCAATTCATTGCAATGCTGACAAACAAAGTGTCTCATTCATTTTGGCTGTTGACCAATACCAAGAAAAGAACTTCCGAGGACTCTCTCCTTAAATAGAAATTTGTACATGCAATTAGGAAGTGGCACAATATTATCACAAATCGAATGATTAAATTTTTAATTTTTGGGGTTTTTTTTTGGTCTTTAAGAGGAGTATGCAAAGAAGATGTCTAACGCGAGTTTATATATGGAATTTGGCTTCGCTTTAGCATTGACTGTCAATTTCGTAAGATAGTCGTAACTATACCGAATAACCTGAGGATTCCGTTTTGCATTCTAATTCCTTTGGAGTCAATTTGAGCGTGTATATCTGTAATGGTTCACGACGACTTTTGAACTTGAATAAGTGAATTTCGAATTTCATACTGTATCGATATAATGGGTACAATCGAACACTTAAACAACTGGTTGTTTCTAAGCACCCCTCCTCCATTGGCCTACCATAGGGAATTTAAATTATTATGAAATGGTTTAAGTTATAGCTCATTTCACTATTTCCTTTATCTAATTGTTTTGTTTCATTTGCAGACTTGGAATCTTTAGATCCTCTCAAGAACAAGAACTCTAGTAAGTTTCCAACAAATAGTGTCGTCTTTTCTGATAATAATTTCGCATATTTGCAAGTGTTTAAATTTACTAATTTACATTCTTGAACGGCACAAATCAGATACCAAGGAGTGGTGAAGGTGATCACTTATATGTCATCAAGGTCAAAGGTCGCGAAATCGATTATCCAGTGATGCGGTGGATCAACTGGACTAATTAATTTTGACCATTGAGAGTTCTTTGCAATGGGCTCAGGGATCATAGCCTATTTTTTATTCAGCAAGGTCTTTTTAATCTTACGTACGAAAATCGACTAAATAATTAAATTAAAGAAAAATGAGGCCGAGGTATAGAGCTAGTATTAAAAGTCTTACGAATTAAGTCCGAATTGGGTTTAAAATTGATTTCAGTTTCAATCCTATCTGTTTTCCATTCTAATATTAGTTTAAAAATATTTGGAGCAATTTTACGTTAACCCTTCTTATTCCGAATTATCTCTTGAACAATGCACGCATGTCAAACAGCAGATTGTTGCCGCCGGCATGATGAGTTTTGGTGGTATCAGGGGAAGGCTATAGATGTATAAAACATGTTTGAAACGGCAATAGAGCCTTCTGTTACGAGTCCAGTACCAATGGTGGTTATTTTGAAAGAGGACCGCACTGTCCTGACAGTGTTAGATGGTTAAGTAAGCAAGTTATTACAACTGTTTGTGACAACTGGGAACAAATCGAGTTTGGTAAATAAGTAGGCTTCATCTTGAAACTGTATGTAAGAGAATCGATTTTCGACCCTTCTGATGGATTGAGGACTTGGTGGTGGTCTCCTTCGTTAACGCTCAGCTTGAGTGCACAAATTCCAACAGAAATTTGTTTTGTGAAGAAATTATCACCTTTGTCTGAAGCTTCAAGGTCTCAAATTCAATAAAATCCAAGTGAATGGAGGCACCTCAAAAATTAATTACGTCAAGTGGTACTGTCACTTCCATTCTTTGAATAACAGAGCGGAGACAACGATTTGCAGCTAATTAAATTTGTAGTAACAAATTGTACTAATTCGATAATTAGCCACAGACTACTGATTTGTTTAGTTACATCCATTTAAAATTGTGAACAATCAAGTATATGGTGAAGCGACGTGAATTCTAAAAATTACTCATAAAGTTGGTTGATAAAACGATTGAGTTGTCACTATTATTCATTAATTTAGACCAAGGAGGAATTAATGAAAATCGCACTATAAGTAAGTTCTACATCCGTTTACGGTAGAATATATAATTTTCAATTTTCAACTCACCTGGGTGCAGTTAAATTTATGCTGAACATCATAACTAAAAGGTTAAATTATTATTTTGTCAAAAACTTGTGCTGTTAGATTGGCTATAAAATTTCAACTCAAATTGCAGCTATATTGATTTGACAAACTTAATGTAGTGCCTAAACTGGAACAACTTCCACTGGCTAAAATCTTTAAATGTAGAAAAAATGTTTGCTAATTTAGCTTAGTCAAACCAATGGTAACGAGGATAGAGCATATGGAGTGAGCAGCGTTTGTTACCGTTTCTTTCGAGATGTCACAGAGTTTAATCATTAAATACAATGTGGCACACTACGCTACTCTTGCAGCAATTTGTGCACTCATGATTAATAGTAGGGCGATCGGACCTTGCAGTCTGCTCGAGAGTGCATGAGATACCTTTGAGCATTCTTGTTACCGTCGTGCACTTAACACCTCCCATTTCCTTGGATAATGAGGGACAGTGAAGAAATCAGTATACACTTTGATGGATGCTATTGAATTAATGATATTAGAAACTTTTTATCTATCAATGATTGCTGAAATAGTGCCCAGTATGTGGTAGTTGACAAGCCTCAAATTTAAAGTCAAGTTTTTGAAACATCGAAATACCATTTTTAGCCATGAGCTCACAGCAACTGCCAAGTAGTAAGTTTGATTTTTAGAATTATGTGGATTTTAATTGGACCTTAAGTAATTTGAATATCACTTGTTCCTTTTCAGTTTTTGGAGCTCAATCGGGTTCATATTCGCAAAGTGAGTTTTGTATTATTTAATTTGTTATGGTTTTATGATGTAAGGGATATTTATTCAAATCCTGTGACTGAGATGGCTGTCAATAATTTTATTCAAATTTATTCTAGGCTACGAAAAATTTGGCCTCCGAAACCCCAGAATGACTAGTGAGAGTTAACAGATAATTTTCTTAACCCATATATCAATGATTCGAAATGGAAACTGTTTTTAAAGTTTGTTATTATTAGTCCTCCTGAATAGGAATTTTTGAGTCTTTTATTGTTCTGAGTAATATTTTAGTCACTTTTAGTCTAGTCTTCTTTATGCAGGAGTTCATTTTCAACTTTCCTACCCATTTTAGATGATTCGGATCAGCACCGCCACCATACTTATGGTAAGTCGGAATTTCCAAATGTAGTGCATGTTTCTTCACCACAATCCAACTCCTGCTTACCAACGGGCTGCATTTTTGCAGGCATTTTGGATCAAAGCGATAAAAATGGTACTTTTCGGGTTTGGAATGATATATTTTAATTGAAAACGGTGTATTCGTAATCATTTGGGAGACAATCGAATTTCCTCTGTTTCAGAATCTGAAATGCGGATTAAAGAGCGCCCTGGTGGTAAGTTGGAAATGTTCTACTTTATGGAATTTCGCAAGTAACTTAAAGTGTTTTAATGAGCTTTGGAATTTAATACT